ACTGGACTATACATAACTCAACTGCAAAAAGTAGGTGTTCTTGTAGTTTTGGGTTTTTTGCCACCACATTCCCAATACCAGTGTGTGGCAAATAGCAGGCACTCAATAAATACTTATTGAACGAAAGGATTGCTTTACCACATTTTTGCTTTCTCACCTATTTTTCATTAAACTAGCAGGAAATTTTAATATTCTTGGCTGTACTTAATACCTCCTTGATTCAACTATCCTTGGGCTCATTGAAGAGAAGAAAAGCAAAGCTATACTACACATCATTCCATGTCAGAAAGGCTACCAAGTTACTGTATTTCTGGGGCATAAACAAAAGGGATAACCATGTGTGGCTTACCTACTGTTTCACATGAGCTGGTTCATGATGCATGTGTATATTCCTTAGCAATTTCCTACTTCACATGCTAATAACACTGTGCAATGTAAAGTATAAATCAAAGATTCTTTAGGAAATCTGAGTATTATTAAGTGCAAGTCATCCTTCTTATAAACAAAGCTGTAAATTAAAATAAAGCATTCAACGATTTAAAATGTGGGGGGTAATTTTTAATGTAAAACAATGTAAGTTTTTCTTTTGCCCATCTTGGCTACCTATATAGTGATATGAAATATGCATTGGAAATATAATGCGTTTTAGTAGCTCAAAGGAAAGTATATATCTGAAATTAAATTTTTTAAATCTGCACACTAAGAAAACATAAACATTTCATTATCTTCTTTTGATTTTAGCAGTTGGTCTGCTCATTAATGTATCCTTCCTGATATATAACTACCACCTCAAACTCTAAACAACTTCCTATTTCCTATAATCCTCTACATAGTTGGTGGTGTGAAGATTAAAGCTTAGCCAATTAGCCACCCACTGCAGCTGAGTTAATCACATAATCTTTGAGATGGTCACAGAGCAGTGGAGTATGCAATGATTTTTTTTCTCTTTACAGACAAAGATTTAACTAATTGTGAGACTTAGCAATGCTCTCAAATATAAAGGCCAGGAGGGCTTTAAATCAGAAGCTGTGTCATTGCTTTATAAGTCAGGGCTTATCTTCTTCTAAGAGACATTGTTGCACAGAGACTTCTTTAACAAGTTTCCAAATACCCTAAATTAGTCAACCATTGCTTATTTAGACCAAAGCTTACTGCTTTAGACTAATGACCAGTAATCCGTAAGGTAAAACTAAGATTCTGTCACATGACAGCTACCCACTCAATTATGTGATTGCCACATTAATGTCTGTTAAAGGAAATGCTAATCCAAACTGAAGTTTGACAATACTCTTCTCTCCTTAATAAGGCCACATATGAGGAGGGAGAAAAAAGAGGAGGAAAGGGAGGGGTAGGACAACTCCCGGGAACAAGGGAGGGGAAGAAAAAGAGGGTTGCACGAAGTAAACAGGAAAGAGGGAAACAGAGGTAGGGGCTCTTGTAAAAGAAAGTGGCTCCCAGGTTGAAGCGTGCCCTGGTAGGCTCAACTGATTTGCAGCATTGCTGTCAGTTATTATAGGAAATATTGATTAGCAGATTAACCCTGGTTCTCTAACAGTAAATGTGTTGTGTTGATAATCTAGCATTAATGACAAAATGTGCCATAGTGAGAGTGTCTGTAAAATGTTTAAATTCTGACACAGCTTTCCATCTGATGTGCTTCTGCAGGTAATTAATTAAGGGAAAGACACACACCCTCTGCCCCTAAAGCGACAAGGCAACCCAATCAACCTTCATGACATCAAGAATTACAGAAGAAAAAAAAAATGCTGGGAAAAAAACAGAAATTAGAGAAGCAAACAAAAATGTTGGAGGGGCCCAGAACTAGGAATTAACTGTGGGAAGAACTGAGGAAGTCTTTGTGAGTCATTGGAGATACCAGAGAAACCAAATGGCAGAGAAGGTAAGGAGGTTTCTCCAAAAATAGAGCAGAAAGTTCCCCCAACAGTTGGTATTAGAAATAACTATGCAACCTGGCATTCTAGGGAGAAGAGGATACAGTCAAACTGTGAATCCAAACTGCTCATGTCTACAAGTGAATTAAGGGCAGGTCAGAGCAAAAGAATTAAGTATGAAAAATTGGGGATGAAAGGAAAAGCCTCGAGGGTGGGGATTGGGGATAAAGAAGTCAAAAACACTCAGGCATACGCAGGTGAATAAAATCAAAGACCAGCAATTCTGACCTCAAATCTAAGACAATCTACTTCTACCAATATACTTTGGTTTTAACATTCATTCATTCATTAACTCATCCACACACTTATCACTTGTCTCTAGTAAGTCGACAATGGTGCTGTCCTCCCTTGGATCAATGCTACCAGGTGTCTGCTCCCATAGCCCTTAAGTACATTCCCCAGCGACTTTTCTACATAGTTTTTGAGAATGGTTTTATCTAATATGTGTTTTCTTATTGATCAGACTCCCCTGGAACATTTGTAGGACTTGCACTTTTTGGACAAGTATATGAGGACAGTTTCCTGTCAGGGTGGGTACAAGGGGTCTAAAGCAAAATTAGCCCAACAAGCATTCACCAATTGAAGTGAATGAGAAATTCACCTATCATTCTCCTTCCTCTCTTTACCTGCAATGACCCCTCTGAGCCTCTGTTTCTCTTTAGTAAAACGGGATATTATAAAGAGCTCCTGAGCAAATGCACATCAAGACCTTAGCACAGTGCCCAGTGCACAGAAAACGAACAGGAGACATAAGCTACTAGCATCATGACTCATACACCCTAACGCAGAGCAGTGATTCGTTTTTTGTTCATTGGAGTCTCACTCAGTCACCCAGATTGGAGTGCAGTGGCACACTCCCAAGCCACCACAGCCTTGACCTGCTGGACTCCGGCGATCCTTCCGCCCCAGCCTTGCAAGTAGCTAGCACTATAGACGCGCGCTACCATGTCCAGCTAATTTTTTCATTTATTGTAGAGACGAGATCTCACCAAGTTGCCCCGGTTGGTCTTGAACCCCTGGGTTCAGGCAATCCTCTTGCCTCGGCCTCCCAACGTGCCGGGATTAGAGGTTTGAGCCACCACGCCCAGCCCAGAGCAGCGATTCTCCTAACACCTATGAGAACCACCTGGGAGTCTCCCCCAGCCTCACCCCAAACTACGGAAATATGTGGTCCAGACACTTGTATGTCTGCTTTCTCTTTCTTTTTTTGGTCAGCCTCTGGGATGATTCTGATGCAAAGTGCAACAATTAAGAATAAATGATAAAAACAGTATTTCTCAAGTTGTAACATGCATTCAAATTACCTGATGATCTTGCTAAGATGCAAGTTTCAATTCAATAGGTCTGAGTTGAGGTCTTAAAGTTCTAATACGCTTTCAGGTGATGCTGACACTGCTCAACAGCAGGTCACACTTTGAGTGGCAAGGATACAGAGAGAGAACAAGAGTGATGAGGGCAGGTGAGCAGGGACCCCCAAAAAAACAAAACCCGCAAAAACCAAAGATCTAGTGGTAGGACTTAAGAGATCCTCAGAAGGCCTAAACTCATGAGTTGACCCCTTCAGCATCATTCAATGACGCAATTCATGAGAGCAACAAGCAGAGTCTGGCACATAACAGACTTCTCAAACACTGTTACTATGTATCACAACCACCTCCATCACTATCAAGCAGAACAACTTAAATGTTTTCTCTACCTTCTGACTATCACCTGTCTACCTGACCCCTATTTCACCCATGAAATGTGCTCCCCTTCCTAACTAGGCCCTTATTAGTTTCTTGACTCTAAAAATATCTTCCTTTCTTCTTGAAAGATGGTACTTTCTTTTCACCTTGAATTCCCTTGCTTACCTGTTTGGTTGCACCAACCTGGATCACTGCCTTCATCCACTTACTTCACTCCTATGTCCAGGGGACTGACTATGCCAGAGAAATATTGAAAACCATAATAAATTGGCCCCACATAGGCTTGTCTTCACTTAAATACCTTGCCCAGGAGAGTCAAGAAAGTATCACTCCTCCCTCGCCAATGCCTTGCATTCATTCCTTCAAAGAAACAACATTTCATCTAGCTTCCTGCGTTGTACAGTGTTTTTCAGAAAACTTTAGATCACCTGCTTCTGAGAAGATTGGGGCCAACAGGAAAATAACTGTTCCATCCTCTTCATCTTGTCTCAGTGGTCTGCAATCCTGAGTTCATATTAGAATCACCTGGAACCTCTCTAGCCTTCCACCCTAATTTCACTCCGATTTAATTGTCTGAGATGGAGTTTGGTAATATGTGGCTAGGGTAAAAAACCATTGCCGTTGGGAAGTCATATTATATCCAACTAGGAATGAAGCAGAAGCAAACTGGCTCTCGACAGTGAATGCGTCATCCCTAGTGCGGAAGACGAGGAAAGGCGGGTTTCTACCCTAAGCTCATTGCCTTCTATGATGGTTCCCACAACGGTTAAGGGAGTTCTAGAAGCAGGGGGAGGCAAGTTTTAAAGATGTAACAATTTATGGTTCATTAACCTCAGCCTTGGAAAGCTGGACACTCATCCCAGTCTTCCAACAGTTCAGAGCAGCTGTCAGCTGTCTGGAGAGTGAATCACTCACTGGCAAAGAATGGGGAGAAGAATCCACCCGCCAAACTCCTCTACCTCAGTGAGACACGGAACACAGTCTTATTAGGACACATTTTTTCAACACGCCAATTAAAAAGAAAAAAACTCATTTTCCCACACAGATAAGTAGTGACTTCAGGAGTTTACTGGCAACTAACAAAGCAGAAAACACAACCAAAGAATGCAAGAGAAATTTTCTGACTTCATCTGTATTCTACGTAAGTTTGCTCCACCCAAGATGGGATTCAGCCAAATATACCCAATCTACTAAATCTAGACTATTAATGAAAACTAAGTTGAACAGAAAATTATAGTCAAACACTACAAATGAACAGAATATATTTTATTAGCTAAAGAAATTAAGCCATTCAGGAAATGGTACAATATCTGCAAATAAATCTTCACCCACCAAACAATCCCTGTAAATGAAAATATCCTACCTGATTAGATCTGGTTCAGCACCCTCATTCTTAAAGGATGCCAGAAGTAGTCTCTCTCGAGTTACAAGATCATCCAATAGGTTCTGTCTTCGATCCCCTTCAAGTTGTGTTCTGCAGACATCTTGTTAAGGTTCAATGGTGGATGAATTACCTCAATTTATCTAGTACATTATCAAGTTAACTATTCAAGCCAATTGTGGCTTTAACAGTCCCTAACTACCACTATCCAGAAGAGATCTGATTCCTGCTCTGACCTTCAACTTCGCTGATCCTTTAGGTAAAGGACCTTGACAGTATCATTACAGAAGGATTTATAAACACTGCAACAGATCACAACACAAGTTCCTTCATTGAGAAATATACCAGGTAAGTACTATTTTCCTTCCAGTGACCGACATTTAAATGATTTTTCCTGTCAATGGAACAATCTGTCTGAATGATCCTAGGTTTTGAGTTATAGGTGTCAGTGTTTGGAGGTGTTTTCCTACACGTTAACACACTAAGATTTCTGTTTTTAAAAAGGTGGGGGGAGGCCATGTGCTCTTTAAGCTCTGGTTCCCCTCCCCAATCTGAGGGAGGTGGATCCCCCTTTTCTCTCTCTCTCTCTCTCTCCAAACTACTTTCTAAATAAACTATTTTCTCAATCTAAAAAGCAAAAACAAAAAGGTTGGAGGAGAATCCTTTATATTGTCTTCTTTCTTTCATATTAATACCTATTAACATACCCAGAATTTGTTTTAAGAAGTGCTACTTTATGCAACAGATTTGCTCTAAAAATTGTTACCATCGGTTCATTATTTAAATATTAAATATGACATGATCTTTGAAGGAAATGACAAAGAAAGAAATGACAAAGAATCATATTTTCATGTATGATTCTAGTAAGCGTGCTAGACAAGGAGTCTCAAGGGCAGTTTTACTCCTGTTATGAACACTATCTATGATCTCAAACCAGTTATTTCACCTGTTTCTTTATAGATAACACCAGATAATCTCTAACACCTTTTCCAGCACAATTCAAAAGTGATGGTTAAAAAAATAAATCAAGACTAAACCCAAATCCAAAGTTTTAAATATCCAAAATACTAGCTTTTTTGAAGCAAACTACACAAATTCTTCTAGGTTGGTGTGTGTGTGTATGTGTTTATGTGTGAAGAAACAAAGAAAATGTTGAAGGAAAAAATTTCTGCCATAAAGCAAGTAGAGAAAGCTAACACTTTTCAAAGGATATATCTGACACAAAATATAAAAATGAGCATAAAAATAAGCCAACTCAACTCAGTTTTACTCAGCTTTTACTTTTTTATTAAGTGGCCCTTATTATATTAGAGTTGAAACACTGGTAATTCAAAGTAACCCTGACCTCAATTATTTAGTCCTAGTAAAAATAGCAAGACAATAGTGAGACTGCTACTTTGGACTTACAGATACTTTTATTTTTATTTTATTTTATTTTATTGAGTAGGAGTCTCACTCCGTAGCCCAGGTTGGAGTGCAGTGGCACACTCGCAGTCACCCCAGCAAAGACTTACTGTGCTCCGGCAATCCTTCTGCCTCAGCCTTCCAAGTAGCCAAAACTAAAGGTGCATGCTACCACACCCTGCTAATTTTTGATTTACTGTAGAGATGAGATCTCGCCAAGTTGCCCGGGCTGGTCTCAAAGTCACGGGCTCAGCCACTTGCCTTGGCCTCCTAAAGTGCTAGGATTACAGGCTGAGTCACCGAGCCTGGCCAATACTTTTATTTTTAGAAGAGGGATATAAAACATTGTACATAAGCCCAAATATTTCTGAGAAATTGGCAGAATCATGTAGCAGCATCACCAATGCCCAGGTGGAGAAACCACAGCCCAGGGAATCTCTAATTTTTACTGGTAATTTTGCATAGAAAAGAGCTAGCTAGCTATTAAAATAGTTAAAAAAAAAAATAAAACTCAGGCAAAAATTTTTCTCAGTATCAACACTAGTTAGAAAAATCATAAGTCCTCAAAAGCAATATAGCCAAGCAGCATTATTGGCTTTAGATATTTTAAAAATAATAATAATAAATGAATTCTCACAACATTCCATAATGCCACGCTTTCCTGAGTCAAATTACTACCATTACTTTTCCATTTCCTGCTTGACAACAATCACTAAGTACCCCATTTGGAAATCATAAAGTAGCAACCATAACAAAGTAACAGTGAACTTAAATACTTCCTCTGTATTAATAAAAGAGCCAAATATTAAACTTTTTACCAATTCAATATTAAGAATAAATATTGATGTGTATCAAATTAATGGTAAATTATCAATAAGGTAGAAGGTTTTTGTTTTCAACTTAAAAGAAGTTCCTTGGGCAACCCCTTCAGGTCCCCTCCCACTGTGGAAGCTTTTCTGTCTTCTCAATAAATCCTGCTTTCAAAAAAATAAAAGAAGTTCCTAAAAAATTAAGAAATAACAGAAGCTGTGAAAGATTTATACAGGACAAAAATAAGACTCTTAGATTGTGGAAAGTACTAATTACATCACAATACAGGTTCAGCATCCCTAACCTGAAAATCTGAAATCCAACATCTAAAACTTCTTGAATGCCAACATGATGCCACAAATGGAAAATTCCATACTTGACCTCATGTGATGGGTTTCAGTCAAAACACAGGTAATGTTGTATGAAATTACCTTCAGGCTATGTGTATAAGTTGTATATGAAGCAAATGAATTTCATGTTTAGACTTGGGTCCCGTCCCTAAGATATCTCATTATGTAGATGCAAATATTCCAAAGTCTGAATTCCAAAACACCTCTGGTCCCCAGCATTTTGGATCAGGAGACTGTATTAGCTAGCATTGTCTTATGTCCTATGCTCAACTCACCCCAAAAACCTTTGGTTTGTTGGGATTTCAGTTATCTAACCACCCAAGTAAACATATGTTGAACTATGATCCAATATTACAATCAAGTACAGATTCAAACTGCTCAGAGGTTTAAACATAAAAAATAAAATAATAGAAGTATTATTAGAAGACATAGGAGCTAGGCATGGTGGCTCACACCAGTAACCCCAGCACTTTGAGAGGCGGAGGTGAGAGGATTGCCTGAGCTCAGGGGTTCAAGACCAGCCTGGGCAACTTGGCAAGACCTTATCTCTACAATAAATTAAAAAAAATTAGCTGGGTGTGGTGACATGCACCTGTAGTTCCAGCTACTTAGAAGCTGAGTCAGAAGGATCGCCTGAGCCTTACAGGTCAAGACTGTGGTGGCCGTGAGTGTGCCACTACACTCCAGCCTGGGTGACAGAGTGAGACTCTGACTCATTTAAAAAAAAAAAGACATAGGAGAACTTGTTAATAAACTTGAAGTAGAAAAAAATCTTTCCAGGCAATACTGAAAACCTAGAGACCATAAAGGAAAACTAGAAACCATGACTATATAAAGCTTTATCTGCAAAACAAAATTACAAGTGGCAAATAGTGGCTAGTGAAATAAAGGCAAAGGACATAATAGGGCACAGAAAAAAAGAAACACTAATATCTCAAATGCAAGAACATTAAGTTTCACATTAGTAAAATAAATGCAAAGTAAAACAAGATACCACTTTCACCTACCAGATTAGGAAACTGTGACAAGACAGTTTTGGAAACAGATGAGGAACCAGGCATTTTCATACCTTCCTGATGGGAATGTAAAAAGGTCATTCAATTGCCAGACTGCCTTCTAAACATATAACATAAAAGGCACATTCTTTCAACAGGAATTCTTCATAGATTCATTCATCCATAAAAGCCTAGAACTTAGGAGTAAGGATATTCATTGCAACATTTTTTATAATAGCCAAATATTGGAATCATCAATAAGGAACTAGAGCATTTATGCAATGAAATGCCTTGCAGCCTAACAGAAAAGCTGTTTATGGACTGATGATAATGACAATTAACATTTCTGAGAACATACTAAGTGCTTATAGGAATTATCTGACATAGAATAATCTCCAAAATACAGTGTTAAATGAAAAAATAATAAAAGCAGCAGCAGCAAGGGACTAAACAGGGAATAATATTCTCACTATGTTAAAAATAAAATCAGACATATATATGCTTGTACATACTTGCCACAGAAAACTTCTGGAAGGATATTCAAACACTGCCTCTAAGAAAGGGGACCTGGGAATTACAGAATGTTGTTCTGTATTGTTTGACTCTATCATATGGTAATTAATAAAATCACAAGCTTCAAACTGTATGTATAAGCTGATTCTTTTATAGTCAAACAATTTTATTTCATATCTACACATACATATACTTCATGCCTAGAAAAGTCTGGGATGATAAGTACCAACCATCAACACTGTTAACTATGAAGAATAAGATGGAATAGGATGAGGAAGAGAGAGGGATCATTGGTAAAAACTAACAATAAGAAGTGTATAGGTACAGTAAGAAAGAGATTGGCAGTAGCAGGATACTGCCAGGGGAAGGAAAGGGGCAAAAAAACATCACTAAGGGTATCTGAACTCAAACCAGGTGAAGTGGAGACCAGAGGGAGGCCCAAACTTTACCTGTACAATGGCCACTTGTATACCTAATTCTGAATTATACCCCACATTTTTTAAATTTTTAAATTTTTAAAAAATTAAAAAGAAAAAAAGAAGTGTATAAGTAGAAAGTACTTTTTATAATAAAAACAATTAAGATAATTGTTAAAATGCAGCAGATACTAATTAGAGATTTAAACTAATGTTAAGTATGAACTGACAAAGAATATCAGTTTCAAAAGCAGCAAAACTTGGTGATTATGTTTTGCAGATCAGCTGATGAACAGAACTCCAGAGAGTTGATGCTAAAAGAGGCCTCAGGGATCCCCTAGTCAAATTCTCTTGTTTTTCTGATCAAGAAATTAAGGCCCAGCATGGCTAAGTCAATCAGCTTGTTAACAGTAATGCCGGGATAGAGCCAAACTCTTTCCATCCTAGGTCAGGGCTTTTTCCACCTCATGCTGGGCTTGCCCATCAAACTTTCCAAGGGCTTCTCCACCCTGAGGTGCCCAGCACTGCTCACTTAATTTGCCACTTCTTCGAATCCTGTAAACAATACTGTGAATACGAATTCAAAATATTCCCAGAGACTCCCT